CACAAAGTGAGTACAATGCAGCTCTGTGTGTGTTTAACTGTATAGGATCTCTCTAAACATAACTATTGAACAGATAAACTTCAAAAATAATAAGCTCCTGCTAATGGTTGTGGGTCCTTAATTCTGCCTGATGGCACTAGTTTAATTTTGCCGAAGGCTAACCTTTCGTGAATGACATTTCTCAATAGGTACAAAGTGCCATGAAATAGACTTTGTGGTGATTTAAAGATATTTTTCTCCAATGAACTGTATTTTGATCCTGAAATGTCTGTTGTCTCACTTTGTTAACAGAGCCACTGGTTTGATTCAGACACTCCTAACTGTTCCTGCAGCTCACATCATTACAAAATGACGTGGCGTTTTCTCTTAGAGCCTCACAGCTGTGCAAATTCTTCACCACTACTCACAGCTTTTAAAAAAAAAAAAAAAATAGTGACTCCGTTTTTTCCTATCATACAATTTCCTTCACTCATTTATTTCTCTTGTCATGTTATTCAGGTTTTCAGGTTTTTGTTGTTTTATTTCAGTCTTTCTTATTTTCTGCAAATACGATATACTACGGTTCTTATAACTATAAAGTCATACAAACTTGTTAATCTATATTGAAACATTTCAATCCTGCACCTATAGGGACTACTTTTAAGTTTAAGCAGTATGTGAATCATACACCATACTGTATACTTTTGAAAGGGAGCTTTCCATTACAGCATTATAATCTAAGAGGCTTTGGAACTGGCAACCCAAATGTGATCTGTATTAAAACAGACATACCTGTAGTAAAGCTGTCAGAGGGATTAATCCTGGTGATGAAAGCAGTTTCTGAGAGGTTCATCTCTGCTGCTATCTTGTAATACAAGTCATCACTCAGCTCCTGTTAGAAACACACGATTTGACGAGCAAATATAAATATTTGTGATGAGTGTAAACATGCACTGATATGAGCTGCTATGACCGCGGTTCCAGATTAACTGGCGTTGGTCGAACAGATGTGTGGTAGACTTGCTTGTCAGGAGCCGCTACCAACAAAACAGCAAATAAACACCAAACATTTCATCTGTGATATTTGTGAGGTTACCTCAATCTTGTTGCTCATGAACAACTAAATGTTTAAAAAACATGTCCTGTGTACCTGGTGATATTCTCATGCAGGAGGCGATCGTGAAAACCGCAAACAATTAACACCACGCCGATTCTATTCACAGCATGTCGTCGTTATCGTTCCCCTCGTACGTGTTATTACTCCGATTTCAGTGTTTTCGCTTCACAACTAAAGCGTGCAGTTTACTTTGTGTTCAAATGGAGTCGAGTCAACTAGCTCCACCTGTGGCCGAGTGCCACAGCCTACAGCCAGATTAACTTGTGACACACATCTGCGCCTGGCTCTATCGCCACGTTTGAATTCGTTTCATGCACAATACATTTGGAACTTTCTATTTTGTCTGTTTGCATGTCTTGCAAATAAACCTTTCAAATAAATGAAATGGTATTATGTATTTATTTGTGGCCTACATCAGTACGAAATGCACAATTATATACACAAAGTTATAGAAATAGTTATAGAAAACACCACTCCCGTTGTTCATGATGATTTCAGTATTTCTTCCCATAACAAAGAAATACGTCTTGAACAAATATTTCACTGGTGTTGTAACATCACATCCTGTAAGCATAGTCTGCCTGTGTCTTTTCTCTGGAAATGAACATTTTCAGCCAGTAAAACATCAACATGGCTGGAGAGAGTTTGTAGTTATATACAGTCTGTGTAATTGTGGTTAATCTATAAACATTTGTAAAGAGATGGCAGTTACCGTGAATTTGCAGCTGTTACACTATAAACAGAGCCAGTGAGAGTGATTGGATTTAAGAAAGCGAGTGACTCAGGTGTGTCAGTTGGTTTGTCATCTGTGTTTGAGTGTGGGGGAGAGCTAGAAATGTTTACTTTTAATGCTAAGCAAGGAATATTCATGATTTATTTCCAAAACTTGCATATGATCTGCAATTTGTAGCAGATCTACTGACTATCACAGAGCAGCTGGAGCAGTCTCAAATGGAGGCCAGACTACAAATGTTGTGCATGCTAAATAAACAGAAACAAATGGTCCCTGTTGTCTTTACTTAATGATTGGTTTTAGTCCTGACAATCCACATTGCTGTCATTGCATCTTTCAACATGTTTGTGGGTCGATTTGAATGATCCAGATGTAAGTGCAGCCACTCAGCCTCTTCTGCAGATGTGTCACAAGTTAATCTAGTAGTAGGCTATGGCACTTGGCCACAGGTGGCAGTAGTGGACTGACCTCCATTTGAGTTCATCTGGAACACCGGCTTTATTGCTAAAGCAGATGATTGTAAGCTTCTGGCAGGCAAACAGACGAAGTTTGCTCACTGAAAAAGAATAAACAACTAAATAAGTTAATTAGAAGCAGCAGGCTGATGTATCTTATTGTATGTATCTTATTCAGTTCTTGTTTGATAAGAAAGTTTTCAGATGAACGCAAGCAAAAAAAAAACCACTTTAATTTTCATGGTTTGATTTATAAAAGATTGTTTGAGTTAAAATACCTTTAAAAACACATCTTGTCGAGCTTGTCTTGCAGAACGAATTTGTGCTTCTGGTCTGCACTTTGTGCAAAGCACCGATGCAGGCCGCCATAGCGCCAGACTAGACATTAAGCTGTGGCCTAAATAGTTTTACTCACTTGCAGAAGTGGACAAATCGCCGCAGGGTTTCCCTTGAACGGCAAATTGGTGAAGGAATCCAGCGTGTACACTGGTATCTCCATTGTAGGTAAGCGAAGGAAGCGAAGCCTCCTTCTTCAGCACCGTTTTTGGTGGACCAAGTCCGCACCCACTGCTTTTTTATTTTTTTAACAAGAACTTTATTAATCAATCAGTGAGTATACAACATACAAACAGATGAGATATACAAGAGAGTAGAACATGAATACAAATAACCAGGAGTACAAAATAATAATAATACGTAAATGTACGCAAAATTCACATAAATGTATCGTTTTGAGCGCCTTTTTGTGCGCCTGAGTCTGATGTTGACTTTATGTACAATTCCACATCCTTAAGAAAATAACAGAAGTATGGTGTTTTATTAGTAAACTTACATTGGATTAAAAAAAATAGCTAAGAGTATTAACAGATTTATTATGAAAAAAACATTTATCATTCTTCTTGGAGAACTTAAAGAAACAAAATAAAACATTTTCCCATTGTAGAGGGAACTCCTTTAAAATAAGGACAGTAACAAACCTGCTAAATTCTTCCAAAACCGCTGTGTAAAAGAACAGGACCAAAAAAGATGTATCACAGTTTCTGGATGGTCCCCACAGAACGTGCTTCCGCACGCACTGCTGTGGATGGACTGTAGACCCTCCCCCTGCATGTGTGTGCGTGTTTTTCCTCCCTGGAGCCAGTCCTATTTTCCACTCTTTTACGTTTAGACATAACCGGTTTGTGACTGTAGAAGATTGCGTTTAAGACTACAGACTTTACCCCCTTAACATCACTTAACTGTGATTATTTGACAATCTAAGAATAATATTTTTTTAATGTGATAAATCGTCATGTTTTGTATTATATCGATAGCAGGAATATGCATTGTGATTAATTTATAATTATAGACGAAAAACCCGATGACGTTTAGTCTTAAACGCATAATCTGGACTTTGAGTTAACAATAACGCGCATGCTGAATATTTGGAAAATTAATTAATTTTATTACATGTCCAAGATACCAGCTCTCTTCGGAGTCGTAAACACAGGCGTCATATGAAAAGCAATTTGGAAACCACGATCTACGCACTTGATAGTACTTGCAGGAGAGCACTTCTTCTTCTCTTGGCTGCTACCTTTAGAGGTCAACACAGCAGATCATCTGCCTCGATCTCACCCGATCCTTAGCAATTTCCTCTGTCACACGAACCCTCTGCATGCCCTCTTTCAGCAAAACCATGAATCTTCTCGGTGGTTTTCCTCTTTTCCTCCTACATAGAGGCTCCATCTTAAGGATCTTAAGTATCAACTATTCCTGATCTGCACGTCATCTCATCTTTGCCTCCCTAACTTTGTGTCCAAACCACTTGACCTTAGCTGTCCCTCTGATATTATTAATCCTGTCTATCACGTTCATTTTCAACAAAACTTCCACAACTTTAACTCTGCCACCTCCAGCTCAGCCTCCTGTCTTTTTGTTAATGCCATCATCTCTTTGATGCACACTCTGCCCTGCCTGCACTGTCTTCTTCACATCTCTTGTGCACTGTCCGTTACTTTGAATGGTTGATCCCATCCATCTTCACTGCCTCAGGTGTAGCAGCTTTACCATCTTTTCTTCAATGATAATAATAATATTTATTATTATAACAATTCTTTTAACTATTATTGCCTTTATTAACATGTAATACTACCTTCAGTAGTACACTGAAAAAATATGTTGTTGGATTTATTTAATTCAATAGTGGACATTTGTTGCACACAGATGTTTTGCTTTGGCAGCAACTTAAACAATTGAGTTAAAGTAACACAATTTATTCATGTTCTATAAACCTGTGCAATTTGTGTTGATAAAATGTGACTTAAACATGTTTTGATGAAGTAAGTTGAGCTCTTGGAATATTTTAATCCTTCACAATTTTCTCACTTTATCCCAACACCATTCAATAACTTTTACCCAATACTACTTGGTCACTTAAATACTACATGTTATCTTCAAATTACATTTTGCTATTATATTCTAGTATCACATTGCTATATATATATATATTATATTACACGTTTTTAAAAAAATTTAATTTTTTTTCCTGCTTTTTCGGGCAGCACGGTGGCACGGTGGTTAGCACTGTTGCCGCACAGCAAGAAGGTCCTGAGTTCAATTCCAACATCAG